CCCTCCCTACCCCACGGGAAAGGTGCTGACATACAAGGAGAGGAAAATAGCCCCAAAATATTTTAAAACATCTTTGCATATTGTGCACTGATCCGTTGGCTTGCAGTTTCCATGCAAACAGGGTTTTTCTCCAAAGTGCGACTTCAATCAGCATAGAAAAACATTGCTGTTGAGATTTATTCTCTCTCCCCCCTCCCCTCTTGAAGAAATGGCTTCAAGTCAGGAGCAGGAAGCCCGCAGGCTGCGCGTCCTGCCTGTAAAGTGTTTAAAAACTCTGCCAGCTGGTATTGGTCATTGGAATGTGTTACGAAATAGGACTTTTTATAGAAACGTCGGGTCTTTAAAACCTAAGAGCCATTTGCCCTTGACTGCGGGAGGCTGTGCTCAAAAGACTGCAAAACAGCACTTGCCAGATGTCCGGGGAGGGGGGGGTCAGTGAACATCAGTGTCCCCTCCTCACGTGGCCTCCGTTCTCCGTTAGGAAGGTGGGAGTTCGGTGGTCTCTCAGCTTCAAACGCCCGCTGATGCTCTGTGGAGCTCTCGAGAGGAAAATAACTGAGAACAGGTAGTTACAAACCCCTCCTCCTTTCGCAAGCTCCAACACCAGTCATGAGACTTCCCTGCAGGATGGAGCGGGATCCTCCAAGCACCGTGACGTCCTGGAGATTGCTGTTTTACTGAGACATCAGTGCGTAACGGAGGGAAACAAACAGAAGATCGGCCAGGAAGAGCTAAATGCAACAAAGTCTGTTCCCAATTCAGTGTTTCCTCTTCCTGCTGTGGAAGGTGCGACTGAGCTACAGCTCGCCCAGGTGACCGGGAAGCAGCCGGTGGAGATTCCTCTTAGTGTCTCCATGTCTAGCCACTCTTCCCCGCAGAAGGGAGGGCAGGAAAAAGCGATCTGTCCATTAATGGAATGTTTGTTGGCCAACGCTACAAGAGAAGTTGGTTCATCTACCAGGCCAGGGTCTCTCCAACACCCTAAGGCTCTGATGGACCCTCTGCATCTCCCACATTTACAGCTAGGAACTATATAAAGGGCAAAAACTGACTGTTGCAAAGTCTTCCCTCCTCAGATGATTTTTGTTTTGTAACTTTACCTCTTTCTGGGACACTTCACATGACATTTGCGACTGTGGGCTAGACTTCTGGAAAGAGGCAAAATAAAAGGGAATTAATTCCTCTCAAAGCCCCTGCAAGTTTCATTCCTCTTTCCGAGCAGCCCCTAAACTACTGGATGACCATGCAGAAAACCAAAACAGATTTTAAAAAAGAAAAAAAAAAATATCCCAATGTAGCACAAAGAAACCCAAGCAGACTACGGCCTCTCTCCAGTCCAGAAACTCGATACTCCTCAATTACACTGCACTCGCTGTTTCCACGTCACCTCAGCCAGCCACATGCTGCACAACAACCGCTCACCACATACGTAAAGCCCTGGAGACTCTGGGGAAGAATCCTCTAGCTACCCGAAGAATTTCTTGAAAGATGACACTGTTTTTATTATTGTTGTCTCATTCCTGGCACAAACCACCCCTAAGAAGCAGAGGGTCGTGCTGAGCACCGTACCATTCCTAGTGTTTGAGAGCGTCCTGAGAGACCCTTAGGAATTGCAAACATTTTCACGACTTGCTTTGGAGAGAGAGAGAGGTGGTGAAGAGGCAGCAGCGTGCTTGGCCCCTGCTCATCCCTGACAAGCCCCAGAGGCAGCAACATCCCACCACACACTGCCTTGAGCCACGTGGGGAGAGGGAGGCCAAGAGGCCTCCAGACACCCAGCCCCAAAGCCTGGTTTTAAAGAGCACGATGCCTTCTAGCTAGCTGAAGGGCACGTGGCTCATCAGCCCACCGTGACTGAAGTGATTGGCTTCCAGTTTCCTCTGCTCTGCCCTCAATTCTTCCCCACCCACCCCACCCAGTGTCCTACACCATTGCCCTATTGCACCAAGGAAGGAAGAGAAGAGCCTAAGAAAGGAAGTTCCAGATGAGAAGAGTTGGGGCACCCATTATCTGGGTTTCAGGACGTCAGGAGTTCAGTAAACGGGAAGAGCTGTAGTGGGAGGACAGAGTCGGTTCGGGTCACACGTCAGCTCTCCAGCTCTGATGTGCTTCCACCTCTTCTGGTACCACCAGCAGGAGTTCACAGTTCTTTCCTCTCAGCTGGTGTTTCAAAAATTTCCTACCATAAAGAGAAACAGAAGTAAGCGCTACCGAACGTAGAACTCCATCATCTTCTACAACAACTAAATGCAACTAATCCTGCAAACATGACAAGAAACAGAAAGAAATCCCCACACATCTTATTTTCTGACAATAAAAAAAACTGCAAGTATTAAACTTGCCCCACTAGATTCAACACACCTCTACACAGCAAGTTATTGCAGATTCAGATAGACATGATCTTAACCTCAGCAGAGGTAAGTCTACATAGAAGTCATTTTCCATGTTTCCAAGGTGGTAAAAATACAACTAGAACCATGCTTAGTTTCTTCAGATCTCCGCAACCAAAAATCCAACTGTATTTTAAAGTAATTCCAACAAATCTGAAATACCTGGGGGGAACGCACCCCCCCCATCATTTAGACGTCCTTATCACACATGGTAGCAAGCAGTGTACCATCTGGTCACCTGACACAGTTCTGCAGCCCCTTTCTGGCCATAAGCTTTTTCTAATACCAAACTTGGATTATCTCCAGTAACTATGACAGTCAAACTAAACATTTTCTCTGATATCTTTTGGCCTAGATTTCCAAAATTCCCTATCCAGGGAATAGGAATATTCCCATCCTTATTTATTGCTGAAGAACAGCACACTCAGGATAAAAATCCACCAGAAGCTCTGCACAGAAGTTCCAGAATTGCGTTACTTTATCCTAGAAGTTCACAAAAGGTTGGTATTCACTTCACCTACACTTCAATGGCACAGCAGGTTCTGCAAATACCGCTCATGTGCAATCCCTACCTCAGAACAAGTCTAGCTGAGGCAGCAAAGCTGATTACAAGATGGAATGGGAACTGAACAGCAACTGAGAGCAGGTTAGATTCACAGCAAAGTAATTACAGCAACCACCTGGTGTTAAGACTGAAGAGGGGAGTCAAGCCAAAAGCGCAGCGTATGTTTACGTAGGCAAGTGATTTCCTAGCAAGCAGCTTTCACTGCTGCCAGGGATAAGGCTGCAGTTCTAGCCTGGAAAGCCCTTTGTAAGGCCATGCACACAGGTCGCTAGTAAAGAAGCAAAGGAGTGCTGATACTCTCACGTTTGAGAGCATGAGGCACAGCACATCTCGTGGCAGGTACCACTCACTAATATCAGACTTCATCACTAGTGACAGAGCCAGCCATGCAAGAGAAGAAGTCAGGCTCTCCTGAGCTCACAGAGATCATCACCACAAAAAGCACTTTCCGAGATTCACACAAATGCAGTATAAATTTAAGTGGAGGCACAAGAATCTTATTCCTCTCAAATCTTTGCTATTGAAGTTCAACCAGAAATGCTTCAATTGCTGACTGCTTAAGGACAGATTCCTCACCTCCAACATGAAGGGATTTGAGGAGGAACAGGATACAAAAAAAATCCTACCTGAGCTCACTTTCACCTCCAATCCACTCGGGCACCTTGAGTTTGGAGTCAAGGTTGTAGTAGGTGCCTCCCACCTCCCGGACGCAGATCCAGTGCTGTCTCTTGAGGGGGAGCTTCAAGGGCCCCCAGCAAAGGCTGGAAGGCAGATTCATGATGAAGCCCATCACGTTGGACAGGGCAATGACGTTAACATCCCTGAAAGAGTGCAGAAAGCCAGACAGCGCTAAGGTTAGACCCAGGTACTTTAACTTCATCTCTTTCTTGTTTTTACAAACAGTGGTCATCTCCAGAACTAAGCAATTCCTCAGTACCTGCGTTTGTCCCACCAAACCGCCTCATAGCCTTTGGTCTGAAGTGCTGCCATGATCACATTCACATCGTAGTTTCCGTTCCCCAGCATGCTCTTCTTGTGGGGCGTCACCATGGTGTTGGGAGACAGCCTGCAAAGGGAACAGGAGACTGATCCAGAAGGTGCTTGCTGAACCTGTATCCCACAAATGGAAGGGGCTAGCTGCTGTATAACCTGAAGGCCATTCTAAGGGATTTTATGTTTGAACACAAACTAATCTGTTTCTCTTTCTCACTCAACAGAGGGGCTTGAGAGGGCTAAATAATGCATTAACTATAACTTTGATGTACAAAGCCTCCCAGGGTCACAGCTTTGCTGTGAAAGAAACTGCAAAGCTGGAAGCCTCCCCTCTCCCCGCCTTCAACTGGCACTTCTGAAGGATGCTTCAATTATTTTTGCCCTCAATTCATGGTTGGAATAAATGCCAGTTTGCCACTTAAAACAACAGCTCTCACAATTTCAAGAGTTCAACAGTCAATATCAGTCTTGAAAATTGGCTGAGATAACAAAGAGGCAGGAAGGGTTGGCTGCAGAAAAGGTTGTTCTCCCCCATCTCTCACTGGTAAATGAAAGAAGCATTCAGACACAAAGCTGTGAAGATATTTGGGTTTGGGAGCTTTCTAAAACATTACCATTGCTATAAGATTAAAAAAATAAATTAAGTAATCTGTTGTTGTAGGTAACTAAACAGCTAACCTTGTTGCAAACAAATCTCTTCAGCTTTAATTCATAAGCTTGCCTAGATAACACCTGCATCACTATAGCATCTAAAGATCCAGAATCACAGTCCTTATGTTACATGCAAAAATGTAAGACAGTCTTTGGACAAACACAGATAACGGATGCAAACACACAGCAAAAAAACCCCAGTTAGTCACTTTTATTATTGTATGTTCCTCCCCCTGCCCCCAAAAAAATATATTTATAAGGAGGGAAAACAATGAAGTGAGTTATTATGAAGGTGACAGATGGGCTTCAACAGCTGGAAGAGCAAGCACAGGAGGAAACTGGGAGCAGAGAGCAGCAAGGTCATGCGACAGCAGCCCAAAGAAAGTCAAGCCTGAGGTCAGTTCTGTTTCGATGAGTTGCTCTTTTGATCAGCAAGGACTCCATCAGCTCTGCTGGCATAAGGTTCATATGCTTTGTATCATCCAAATACCCATGTTTCACCTGCCTCTCCCTCACGTCAGCTCTGTCCCCCAAAACTGATGTTCCTGCACATTTTTCACTCAGCCTTTAGCACCACGTGAGTTCTGCAGGAATTTTTCATCTGGGGAAAACCCCTCAGCCCTTCTGCACTCCTTCCCCAGCAACATAAGGCATTCAACAAGAAGACAGCAGCAGATTAAGGAGTTTCAGACCAACCAAGCTGCAGACAGGTACCTTTTGCATCAGCTGTGAGTTTTCTTGCAGTGGAGCAGACTGTTGCAGAACAGCCTGGGAAGTGACTTAACTACAGAAGGGAGAAGAGACCGAAACAATGTGGTAATAGGAAAAGCTATTAATACCCACCACTGGGCACTGCCAAATGAGGCGGTGACATTTTCACAGAATCACAGTTTCCAGTCTCCAAAGCTCTGCTGTATTTTACTAATCACAGAGATTTAGCTTGTCACAGCTCTTCCAGCATCTCCATAAAGCAAGATCACTTGGCTACAACTAATTCCTCAAGATCATTGCTTCAACTTATTAAGTCTCATCAGTGCCAGCGAAGTAGGAAAGCCTTCCAATGAGCAAAGCCCTTCGGGTTGCACAAGCACCCTCTTGTGGCACCGTTTTCCAGAGACAAGCTTATTTGAGAGCTGAAAGAACACATTTATCTTTGTTCCTTCCCGCAACTTTCACAGCCCCAGAAATGAGATGAAGAAATCAGCAGAGGTGACACACTCAGAGAACTGGTACCCATGAGCAAACTTTCACCAAGAATTGCCTCAACATCTTTACTCTCACACACCTAAATAGGGTCCACAATCATCAGCTGAAGGATTCTGATTAGACAAGAAATTAAGTTGCCTCCTCAAAGTTAACTTTTTTTTTTTATCTAGACACTAAGCTGAGGAAGACTGACAGAGCTGGACAGAAATCCAGGTAATAATCCTCCTGAGCTTTTGAAGTCAGAAACTTTCATCAGCATGTTGTCTTAACACAACAGGCTCCAAGATTCCTGTACACAGCTGTCTTTCCTAATCAGGTCTCAATACACAGACTCCAGTGAAGCACAGAGATTTTCTTTGTACCTCCATCCAACATTTGGAACATGCAATCTTACTTCCTGAAACAAAAGCTAGAGGAACATCAAAAAGATATTTCTTGTATGAGAGGAAAGAAGAGAAGAAGAACCACAAAAATCAGATGGGAGGTTGGGGCATGTTTTGCCATACACTTGAGATGATAACCATCAGATTACGCTGGCCTAATGCAATGGGATGCAGCAAAAGGGAAACTAATGATTAAGCAATGTGGTTCAATTATTCTTCAAGGGATGTGGTAAGAGCTATAGAAAGCTTAAGTTCATTTGCAATTTCATTACCTTGTCAACACAGTCTTTAAAAAAAATAATTCACACCTCACAACATTTTTGTAGCGTCAATCCATTATCAGAGTCATCAACACAGAATACAACTAGACACAAGACAGACACACAGTAGAGTGATGTATAAAGGCCAACATTTCTTACAGGCAAGTCAAAGAACTAGACATGAGTAGTAACCCAGAGATGCAAAGGCAGGGACAATTCTTATGCACTACTTACAGCTCATCCACTTCTGGAGGAATTTCCACATTTATCTCCATACTACCACGGGGCTGAATCAACCTGTGTATCTTGATCCAAATATTAGGATGGAACAATACCAGGTTGGAATCAAAGAAAATCTTTAGGGCAAGAGGTCCAGCAAGATTGAAATCCCATCACTTTCTGAGAGGTTTCATGCTGCACACTAAGTCTCTCTCACCAAACCCAATGAAAGGCAACTAATTAGATCATCACACTCCTTCTACCACATGAACTGCCTTTGTTTGCTTCAGGCCAACAACAATCTGTCTGCGATTAAGATTCTGACAATTGCTGCTGTGGAACAAAACCATAGTGTCTTTACACTGGACAGAGGGCACCTTGAGCCTGCCATGGATCAGATCCCCTTCACCAATAGGAATTTTATTTACAGTGCTATCATAAATAGCATTTCAATATAATATTTGCTGTTGCCCATCACCACATCTTTTGCCAAAGACAGGCACGCATTTGATGAATTAAGCACCTGTTCCATAAATCTGCCCATTTTCAGGACAGCAGCAACAGGCAGGTAGCTCCTTGCTCATCAGCACAGGGCACCCCAAGTGCCCTGCCCAACACTACCTGTGTGACCACCGTCACAAAGCGTGATTTCCTACCTGTCACAAACACAAGATGCCACCAACTGCTAGTAACAGGTACTCGAGCGTGACCTATGCGAGGAGTACAACATTCACAGGCTGAGTATCAGAGGAGACCCCTTTTCCTGTGTGACTGCCTGGCTTCACCAATGGACGGACACCACAATTTCCAAAGGCACGCTCAGGAGAATTTCCACAAAGTGTTCAAACAGCATACAGTAAACATATAATTTACACTTATCCCAGTAAAACTCAAAACTGCTTTTAATAATTATCTGAAGCTGCTGGGAAACATTCAGCAATACCACAGAAAAACGGGATCTAGCTACTGAAATTAATTTCAGTTTGACAAGAGTACACAGGGCCTCACTGCACGGAAAAAAAACCCACAATGAACTTAACTGCTTGAATAGGGAGTCACTTCTAATTACCAAAACACTTATAAGTGTTGTGGTACTAATTCAAGAAGTTTTTATGATGACCCATTTGTTATTCCTGCCGCCTTCATTCTCTCAAGCCAATCCCTAAATCCGTTATTGATGTCACAATAACATATTTACATGAAGCAGGGGCAAAAATATGGAAGACAGTTAGAAAATGGACTAAGGTGGGTGGGGGAGAAGACAGCAGTCCAACCACATGACAGCATCTGCAATAAAGTCCTTGGATTTAAAACTGGCAGCCCGAATAGTTTAAGAAGCAAGTGAAAAGAGAATTGCTGCATGGAGAGAGATAAAAAAAAAGGGAGGGGAGGATTTAAAAAAGAAGCTACAGTCAGTACAAAGCAGTGGCATACTCTGAATACCTCCTTTACTCTATTTTTGCACCCAAATAAGATCTGAAAATTCCTCCAAGCAACAGAGGACAAGGGGAAGCTAACGCCAGTGCAGAGTATCCTACCTCTGAAAAATCTCCTGCAGGGTTTCCCTAGTGAAGGCGTTGCTGTCCTGGAAGACATTGTTGAGGGCATGGAGGGCACACAGCTCCCTACGCTGCTTCTCATGGTAAATATGCAGTGGTGGTAGCTGAGGTGGCTCTGGTGATTCCGATTTGGTCTTGTCACCTTTCCATGGCACACAACTCATTTTCTCGCAGGGTGGACAGAGTAGGTGGTGAGAAACGAAGGAGGCTAAAGTTTCTTCCTCCACAGTCACAACAGCAGCCCACTGCCCCCTTCTTTTGTAGGCTAGCTCTGCTTCCAGCTCACAAACCCTCCTCTTGTGCTTTAGTTTATTTAGTAATTGCCTCTGATGGCTGGTTTTAGAAACCACATAAAGATCTGCAACATATTTTTTCTCCCTCCTCCCATACCTCAAAAAATTTAATAGTTCCCTCCCCCCAGGAAAAAAAAACAACAACCACAAAACAAAAAACCAAGTCAAAAGATAGGAATTCCCTTAGTCTCAAGATACCAGCTGGGATTTATCACATCGCTCCTTTTCTTCCATCTCCTTTTGTCTATAGTGTCACTAAAAAGGTACCCAGAGCAGGTAACAAAGACAGGCCCACCCCCAAAGTGCCAAAGTGGAGAAGGTGAAGCCAGCTTCTGGTGTTGCCTATGGGAGCACAGGGTGGTTAAGGACTTATCAGCTACATTTCTCCATTCCCTTGGGAATGGCTGAATCCAGGCAAGAAGACGCCAAAAGCTGGAGAAAGGAAACCGCTTCTTGCTAGGCCACAAAAAAAACCACCACCACCACCACCAGGTCCAGGCTCCGGGGAAGGCAATTCCTCACAAGTCACCCTGCGCTCCGACAAAGGGAAGTCTCCATTAGCGCTGAGAAGAGGCAGCACAAAGCCCGTGGGGGCGAGAGGAGGACAGGCGGCGGGCAGGGACCAGCCCCAAGGCCTGCCTCGCACCTTCCCAACCCCGGCCCTCCCCACACCGAACCCCCACCACCCCCCCACACCGGGGGCGCAGCCGCTTCCCACAACCAAGGCCCAGCCCCACCACCAGCGCTGAGGGGGCCTAACCCCCTCACG